ATTCAGGGTCACTATTCTCCTTGTCACTAATAGAAGTACATGTAATATGTACTGTTGGTCCTCAGTGTGTGAGTTTCTAGGACACAAGTCAAGCAAAAGTAAAAGATGGTCCATTGGGATATCTGCTCTGTGTCTTCGATCTTCTCCTTTTTACTTTCCCAAAATGTTCTTAGGATATGTTTATATGATGACGGTCTGAACAGAAGACACAAAAGTGGCATCACGTCTTCACTTTTTATTTCACGTTTAGATGAGCGTTTTCAGGAGGAAATCTGCGTGCATACGGTGACGCAAAAGTGTGTGCAATTTGATTGGGTATAAGTGTACGTTAAAGCAACAAGGGCATCTTTGGACATACAGAAGTTTTCATGGCGCACATTTTCATAAGCTACTCCTTCCACAAAGTTCTTCCAGGTCTCGTCCATATCCGTCTGGCTCGACTGCAACTAACTGGTGCATCCAGAATTTGACAGAGGTGATTGCAGATCCTTCTCTGTTTACTAATAGTATCTGCATATTCTGTACATTTGTTGGAATGCCTCCTGTAAGTTTATTAGAGCTGCAGGAGCAGCTTGAACGACACATGGAAATGATCCAACATGTTAGTTTCTGTGTACTGTGTGTATGTGACGTAAACGCATAGGCAACGTAAGCAGATCTGACCAGAGTTTTGCGTCTTGGGTGTGGTCTCCAACCATACCACATTCTCTTCAGCACTTGTCGGTGGTGGTAGTCTCGATCATAAATGTCTTTAACAGGGTTCTGAAAAATCAGATTTTTGTTTTCCAATCAAACTCTCTCCAGTTTTGGTTTCCAATCCCTTTGTGACAATATAAACATTTGTTCCCATTGCTTATTTGTTATAGTCACATTCATCTCAAGTACCTGCTGATGTTTAATATGAAGCATATTGTCTGTTTTCAGACAGGTTTCTATATGTTAAAGATATCATTTTTTTCATTCTGGTTTCTTTTTCAAACAAAATACATTTCTGTATTACTAGGCTCTCTCGTTCATTTGGATAATTTCAACCCTGAAATTTCTACTGAACAAAAGAAAAAAGGTAAGTGTTAACTTTAAAAAACATCACAAGTTGGAACAGAGCATTTTGAGCTTTGGAGATTTAGACAGACTAATAATGCAACATTACATAAGCGTGTGAATAAAACAAAACACAACTTCAGGTATGTTTTTAATGAGGTAACAACATTATAACATGGCTTAAAGCTCAAAAGAGTCAATTTTGCATAGTATCGGACCTTTAAAAACTCCTTTTTTTTCACCAATACCAGAATCTAATATTTGCTGTTTTGACCAATAAAACATGTTTACCAATGTAGATGTAAAAAATTTCAAAAAGGTAAGGGTGCAAATCATTAAAAAGTTGTAGTGAATGACTTTCGAATAAGACTTGTGTAAACCTGAATAAAGAATGAACTAATCGGTGAAGTACCGATGAACGCTTTGCATATGATGAGGAAATATTGTATAATGTTTGGCTCCAGTCAGCTAACAGTGAGCAATTAGTGGGTTGTAAATATCCTTATCAGTGAATGTGATACTGCTTGAGGCTACATCAAACATCAACTCATTGTCAAATGATTTCTTGATTGCAAAAGAACCAGTCTGGATAACCAGAGTTGAAACATTCTCCACATTAGTAACATTATTTAAAAGGCTCATATTACACAATTTTTTTGATTTCCTCATCACAAACATACCTGGAGTTGTGTTTGATTTCATTCACACACGGCTCAGTTTTTCTCTCAAACAAAAAAACACTTTGTAATTGCCACTCTCTACTGAACAAAGGGTAAAAGGAGCTGTTAAAGGGACAGTTCAGAATTTTGGACATAGGACCTCATTTCCTAGTGAGCCAGAGTGTTGGACACATGTGGAGACACTTTTTAAAATATTCCATCCAGTCCTTGTATTTGCAGAGGTCGCTGGGCTAGACTAGTGCATGTCAATGGCCATAGTTATCCTGCCACTAAAAACAGTCTTACCCACTCCACAAAACACCTGAAGCAAATCTATTATTACACCAGACTGTCGATGTGTGAATGTCTGTGTCGATAAAAATTATTTAGGATAAAAAGGATTTATGTCTGAGCAGCAGCGAGTTGTACTTCCTGACAGAAAGCTTGGCAGCGACGGACTGATATATGAGAAAATAGTACTTCAACATGCGATAATTCATGTGACGCAAGGTTAGTTTTATTTCAAACATTATTCTATCAACACAGACATTCACATCGACAGTCTGGTGTAATAACAGATTTGTTTCGGGTGTTTTGTGGAGTGGGTAAGACTGTTTTTAGTGGCAGGATAACTATGGCCATTGATGTGCACCAGTGACCTCTGCAAATACAAGGAATGGATGGAGTGTTTGTTTTTTTAACTGTCTCCAAAACTCTGGCTCACTAGGAAATGAGGCCGTATATCCAAAATTCCTACCTGTCCCTTTAACTTGAAAACTACAGCTTCGTGACATGACATCACGAGGTGGAACAGAGCATTTTGGGCTCTGACGATGTAGACAGACTAATAATGCAGGATTACTCAAGTATGTGTGAAACAAAACACTCTAGGTCTGTTTTTGAGGAGGTAACAGCATTCTTACATGACTTAAACCTCACAAGAGACAATTTTGTGTAATATCCGACCTTTAAAAAGACACATAACAAAAAATATATGTATGTGCAGTATATATTTTTGTACATGTGCGACAAATTAAAAATCCTCATATATTAAAGACTGATATTCTTATTATATTGTTATATAATTGATGTTACCATTGCTTGCTCAGGAGTCTCCAATGTCTCCTATCACTAAAAACTTGTATAACAGGTTGCGTGTGAAGCAGATTCTACATGCGATTCAATTCTGGTTAAATATTTTTTTATTCCCAACCTCTACCTAAGAAAACAATGTTATCTGTTAAATACATTCCAAGGTATTTCCATTTTATTTTCTTTTGTTATGGGACTGACACCTTAATAAATTATAGTCACTTTCCCAGTTCCATAAAAGCCAAATAGTGTCATTACGTTTGAGGTAACTATTCTGAGCGTTTGAGACAAGCGTGTGAATGAAACAAAACACAACTCTGGGGATGTTTTTGCTGTTATTAACATGGCTTAAAGCTCAGAAGACTTCATTTTGCGCAATATAGGACCTTTAAAAACTACTTGAGATGACTGAATAATGAGTCAAAGTCAAATTTCATAATCCTCAGAATCACAACAACAGAAGACAGATACATAAGGGCAGACGGTAGGATACATGAATTCAGAAGAAAAAAAACAACTATACACACACTCAGTCATACACAATAAGTAAAATTTGAACAAAAACTTAGACAGAGTTCCAGTATAGCCACAAAAGTAATGAACAAGATGATCAAAAACAGTGACACAGGTTATGTAAGTATTGCACCGACCATTTTTAAACAGGAAGAGAAGTTGACACGCGAATCGCTGAGGGAAGATTCCAGCCAACCAAAAGGATCCTTATATTTAAATTTGTGTTTTCCGTTTAGTTTTTTGACGCTTGGGACAACAATAAATATCTTTGGCGTGGAGTAAACTGTAGGAGGATCTGAATGGATTTAATACTGTTATAACTGAGATGAATGCATTTAAAGATAAAACAAAAACAGTGAAGTTGGTGGTGCATCAAACAGTGAAGAGTCCTGAAGGGACAGTGGAGAATAAACCTGCACAGACTCTTATAGATAATTCTGAGTGGAAGTTGTGGTGTTTTGGTAAACGATATCACAATAGAATGGGAAGAATCAGTTGTGAGACAGGCTGCGTTTACACATAGCCGGGTATATTGAGAAACGGATATTTTCTTCCTTCTGTTTTCCAAAGTAACATTGTGCACACGGCATCGTTTTCAAAAAAGTTTTCGTTTACACCAACCCGCATAAATACGCCATCGAGCGCCGTCATAACTACGCCAAGTCTATGGGCGGCACCTGGATTAGACTCAAACATGTAGCATTTATTTCATGACAGTTTTAAGTATTACTCAGAAAGACTTAGGAAATCTTACATTTCTGAGCGGGCTCGCCTCTCCACAGATCTGTGAAAGAAGTGGCAAAATCACTGAACTCTGAGCCTCATTTGTCTCTGGTCATGGAGATGAAATATCAGCTGTGTGTGCAAATGCAAACTCATGAAAAGTGTTTGCACCGGAAGAAACGCGACTGCTGCTCTGAATGCTTCATCATCATCATCATCATCAGAGCAAAAGGGAAATATTAGTTACACTTTTGGCACGTCAGCTCCTAAAACTCTATTTATCTCATTCTACACAAAAATGCCAAACTGTAGTTTTCCAGAATCTCCACTCTAGCCGGAGTTTTCAGAAAGATTAGTTTACAGAGGCGATTTCCCCTTTTCCTGTAAAAAAATTGGTCTCAGTTTTTAAAAATACCCATGTATGTGTAAATGGAGCCATAATATTTTTCTTGACAGAAAAACTAAAACAATGATGACTAAAAATACCAATTTTATTTATCTGGTCTCATTTTCATTGTAACTCACTTGTGACTACTGAGTTACAATGAAATGTTCAAAGACATACGTGTAAAACATCCGTGACAAATGAAAAAAAAAAAAAACGAAACAAAAAAAACAATATTACTCATTTCTATTACCACCATCACTAGCTATCACTAAAAACATACCATTTGTTGCGTGTGAAGCTGCTTCTATATTTGATTAAATTCTGGTTAAATATTTTTTAATTAACAACCTCTACCAATGAAAACAGCTTATCCCATCAAATTCCATGGTAGTTCCATTCTTTTGTTGTTTTGACGCCTTAATAAATTACAGTCACTTTCCCAGTTCTGTGATGTCAAAGAACGTATCATTACATTGGAACTAATCAAAGGCTCCATCATAATACAGAATGGGTGTGTGTTGACGAAGCCCTCCCATTTAAAAAGCCATTCACTCACTCACTCACTCACACCCAGTCCGCAGAGCACCTGGACTACCACACCGGATAACCTAAACAGACATGGCTCCAGTTTCCATACAGATACTCACCTTACTGCTCTGCACGGTAAGCCTTTTGTGCTTTCTAGCTTCGGTTAGTTGTCATAAAACTACTTTGAATTGCACTATGAAAAGATATATGCAATGTTGAATTGTGAAACTGAAAGATGTACACATTACAGAATTGTACTTATTACGATGTTTAGAGGCTTTTCTGTGCTCTAACAGGCTGGATTACTACTGCTAAATGATTTCATATTAGTGAGCTAAAGTATCATTTGAGTCTCGTCTGGGGCAGTGTTTTTTTGTGTGTTTAGCAGTTTACCGTTTGCACCGGATGAGTCATAAGCCGCTTGTTTCTGTTGAATGTCAGGTTGGAGACATGCCTGAACAGTGACGCAGAGTATAAAACTAATCCAGGGAGAGGAGGGACGGGCAGAGACAGGAGGGAGGGGCAGGGTGTGGCGTGTCCTCAGGGGAGTTCGTCATGGGGAACCCGAGCAAAATGAACCAAATATATTCACATTGTCAAATAATGTGTAATGGAGTGCAGCTCATAGACGTAATATGCAGTCCTGCGGGTTTAAAATAGGAATTAGTCACAATAATAATTAAGAGATACCATCGCTGTCATCTTTATCTGGCAGCAAAGTGGGGAGCTCATTCAGGTTTCTGACTGAATAATCAACAGAAACTTCTGACATTTTTTGTTGTCCCTAATTCATCTTTTCTACCAGTATAATAAAATGCTGCATATCTTTCCTTTAGGTAAGGGATGCACCAACCGTAATCACAAAACTTGGGGCATTCCAAATCTCAGTAGGATTACCCTGGGTTAAGAAAGGATCAAATAATAAAAACTTAAATATATGCATCTGGGCCCTATGTTCCCTCTGACAGCAATATCATAATAATGGTATTGCCAAACAATCACTGCTGTAGCGGGAGGATTTGACAGGTTGTTGTGTATGTATTTGGAAACCGCGGGAAAACCCACCTAATAACAGGGAGAAATGGGTAAATTCAGCATGGGAAGGCTTGGGCTTGTGGTGTTCCCCAGGGATCAACTCTTGGTCCACTTTAGTTCTCGATTTATACGCAGTCACTTGGTCACATCATTAGACTTAAAGTTCACTTCCGTTGCTGCGCTGATAATGCACAGCTGTAAAGTTGAAGCGAACAACCCTTAGGTCTTGAATTTGGCTTTTAATGTCTTTCTGAGGTAGAAAGTTAACATAAAAAGATAAACTGACTGAAGTCTTTGGCCTTACCAATCTGATCTAAAGGATCAGAAAGTAGGTCTTCTATGTAGAGTCACAGATTTAGCAGGTAAAGTTATAGAATATTTTAAATAATGAATCCTTTGTTTCATTACGGATTAATTGCAGTACACTTTTTATTCTTTAAAGGGGGGGCTCCTAGACTGTGGTACTCTCTTCCTGTAGATCTGGTCAGCTAGTTTTGTGGTCACTTTTAAATCTAAAGTATTTTCTGTGACACCACGAAACAACATCAAACAAGTGTTTCTATTGTTTTTTGTGATTTGTATGATTTTTATTCTGTGAAGCACTTTGCAACAAACATTTTGATTTGTGTTCTAAAGTGGCATAGAATAAAATGTTTGATCATTTATGTTCAAACATTAGTTTTCAGTAGCCATTGATTTCATGATCATAGTTCCTCAGTGTATGCTTAACGTCACAACACCCACTTTATTAAATTATCTTTGGCTTTTATGAAATGCTTGCCAGACTGAGGTGCTATTTTTAATTACGTTCAGTTAACACTCTTCATGTTTCTTGTGTTCTGAGGCCTAGTGGCTCAGTGTCTAGCACACAGCAACAGGACTGTGGTTTGTTTCCTGGGTCACCCGAGTTTTTTGTGCTGAGTTTACATTTCGTTGCTGAGATTCCTCCAGGCACTCTGGTTTAATCCATCAATTAAAAACATGCACAACAGGTTAAATCCTCCAGATAAGGTGGTGCTGGCCAAGCCTAGCTCAAGATTTGATATCTTAGCATCAGACTGAAGAACTTTCCCTCTTACAGAATGTGGTTATAGCTGTTTTTATGTTTCTTGCCTTCAGACTGCTGCTACTGCTGCTACTGCTGCTCGGGTTCGACAAAAGCGAGAGTGGATCCCTCCTCCCAAATTACTCGAAGAAAACGTAGATTACAATGATGAGATTGTGGCTAAGGTAAGTGATGTGGAACCACACACTGCACGGATGCACAACAAGAACAGGTCTCACACCCTGTGTAGTAACCACACCAAGGACATTTTTCAGTTGTTAGGTGAACAGCACGACGGTATCTGATTTGATTCAAGCAGGCTGTAGTTTATGGTGTAGCCACAGATGACATTTTATTAATTAAATACATTTGTTGTCCAAAAATTCCACACAAAATATAAATCCCATAATTTCACAGTGAGACTAATACTGACAGGATTTAGAGATGTATACAGCCTCGTCATGAAAACATTTCCATTTGAACAAACCTGAAACAACCAAGAGTTCTCCAGCCAAAGAGATCCATCAGAGGAGAATGGCCTTAGCAAGGACCGTGCAGGAGTCCAGTGCTGACTCTCCCTGAGCCCCTCACATTTCTGACACAAGCATAACATGATCAAGACGGATGTGACAGTGACATTCTGTGATGCTGCAGATTTTTTCAGATTATGAAGATGGCACGGGGAACATCAACTACTCCCTGGAAGGCAAGGGGGCGTCCCAGTATCCCTTCAACGTCTTTGTGGTCAACCCTCAAACGGGAGACATCCGGGTGACACGCACACTGGACCGGGAGGAGTTCAATGAATACAACGTACGTTTCTCATTTGACTTGCCATTAATTAAACTGATACGTTGCAGACTTTAATAAATACAGGTAATAAAGACAATAAAGAGCTGGCTTTGTTGGGACACATGTGAGCTGATTTAGTGCTGTTAAACAAGTCCCTCTCGAATAACATTACAAGTACAAACTAGCCAACACTTAGTCACTCCTTTTCGGTTAGTCACAACACCTAAGCTCACTCAGTTTGATCACAGGCTCCTGAAAAATCTATTTTGTATGTTGTTTTTTTGTTGTTTGTTTGTTTTGTTTTAGTTTTTAGATCATCTAAAAAAATATCATAATGTTTGCATTGTGTCACCTTGGTAACTGACATAGACATACATGCAGACCTCTTCCTACGTGATGTCACTGACAAGTAAAAATCAATAAAAATATCTGTAGTTGTATAAATGCGAGATAAGTTTCAGGCCATACTGTGTACACTTCAGAGAGACAAAAGCTGGTGGGGGACCCTCTGCTATAAAAGTTGCATAATACGTCTTTAATGGTACATTTTTAATGGCACCAGATTAATGTTTATCTTTTGTTGGTTTAGTTGACTGGCGTCGCTAGATTCGCAGACGGCCGCTTAGCAGAACAGAAGATCCCAGTGCGATTCAGGGTTAAGGACCAGAATGACAACCCTCCAGTGTTTGGGGTCATCAAACCGGGAGCCGTGGACGAGCTCAGTCCTAGAGGTCAGTGCCTTCAAGTCAAACACTCGTATTCACTTTTATATTTCGTATAATGGAGGATATTTCCAGAATTTTTGGCAACTCAAAACATAACATAGAATTTGATCTATGAATAATTCAAGATCTATTATTCAAAGTCTAATTTGAATAATATTGGATTTTTTAAAATCTTTATACTCCTGTATTCAAGACATCATTACTTTATAAAGGTTAATTTTGGTCTTCCAATATTATTTCCAAATAAAGGTGTCTGAGTAATCCCTCAGGCGTTCTGGATCCATAGCAAAGAAAAATTTAATTCTGTCAATTGGACAAAGATGTTTTGCAGCTCATCTAAGTTGCTTCTTCAGTTCTTGTCAGAAGCTTCTGGACACTGCCTAATATCTGCCTGAAGGGAGGAGCTAACTGCACTGAAACTCCTCTGAACCTAACCCACCTATTCTTCTATAGAAATACACTAAGAGTGAAATGTGCCTGAATGAGCCATCAGGGACCTGGACTATTGAATTTTTCTTTGCTATATTTCCAAATAAATGTTCTTTTTGACAGACTAGTGTTTTGTTTGTAAATACCTTGACATGTTTGAAAGCCTTCTGGATCCTTCTTCTGAAGTGATGTTATGATGATGTGTCTTGCCACCTGATTTACACAGATATAGTCAATAGTGTTGATCACCCTAGAACACTGTAGTTGTGCATCTCTAGATTTTATTTATTAACTTATTTGTATTAAAATTCTTTATTTTACAGGCACAACGGTAATGAAAATGACTGCCTCTGATGCAGATGAGGGTGAGAACGCTAAGATAGCCTACAGCATTGTGAGCCAGAGTCCAGACGAGGACATGTTCTACATCACGCAAGACGGGAACCTGTGTGTCAAGAGTCCTAACCTAGACAGAGAGGTATGTTTCAATCTGTCCTGGAATGTTATACTGTAATTTTGGATGATACTGCCATCTTCTGTTCTCATGGGGTATTACACAAACTCATATGCTTAGAACACAACTGTCTACACCATTCTAATGACACTTGTTGGGTTTTGGAAAAAGAAGTAAGCTTTTTTTTTTATCCTATCAGTTACATTTTGTAGGTGGGAAATTCTGAGATATTTTCAAATAATTGATTTCATTACAAGAAAGATCATGGTCAATATATTTTTGTTTAAAGGTTGGAGGAATAATATGTTTAAATCTGTATTTGTGACAATAAAACAATGACAGCAGTTAGTAGCAGAATGTTGAAGTAAATGCAAAGAGGTCAATTTCCTTTGGGATAATAAAGTTTTATTTATCTATGTAAAGCTTGCAATGTTAATTATATTTGGGTTTTATTAGCTATGTGGTGTCCCTCTAAACTATAAATGTACTTCTTTGTTTTCAGAAAACCAGCCAGTACGTTGTGGTGGTCAAAGGTCAGGACATGAACGGCAATCCATATGGGAAGAGTGGAACAGGGACGGTCACCATCAACATCGGAGACGTCAATGACAATCCACCCACTCTGACACAAGATTCGGTATGATTTCACATGCTAAAAGTGTATTTGACTTGACAGATTCATATATTTTTTTAATTGCTTTGGTAGGATAATATCTGTGGTAAATATTTATCATAACCTTTACATCAATTAAGTGTCAGTTTGTGGGAAGAAAATTACAAAAATGCCAGAAAATTCCATGTGAAATGCAAGGAATACAAGGAAACAAGCTGTGTCAATTATTTTTATTAGGTTAATTATAACTATTATGCAATTTAGATAGGTTTGGCCTTTGTTTACAGTTTGGTTGCTAAGTATTTGTATGAACTGGTATGTCATATCTGCTGCCAGGAATAAAATTATAAACTTGGCCTTAAAAAAATTTAATTAACTAGGCCAGATTTTTTGTAATATATTAAATTACATTATGTTTTGTGAAATTAATATATATTCATCTGTATATTATATTATAATATAATATTTTTTATTCTAAGTGCTATGACAAGTTTATTTAGTTTTTGGGTAAACACACTGAAAAAAGTGCATTACATATCTGATTAAAATTTGGAAATACGCCTCATTGTCTTGCAGTACGAAGCTACGATTATGGAGAACACAGCAGGAGTAGAGGTGATGCGACTGCAAGCACAGGATCTGGACTTGCAGGGCACTCCAAACTGGGAGACTGATTTTGAGATCGCCAGCGGGAACGAGGCGGGGTACTTCACCATCAAAACGGACCCCGTCACCAATGAAGGAGTCCTCATGCTTGTCAAGGTACTGTTCAGTGACATATGAGGGAATCACTTTCACTACCAAACAACACAGTATACCAAATTTGAGGTGAATGAAAAGACAAGATGTGCAGTTACCAAGTTAGCAGTTAGAACTTTGTGAAATAAATCCAAGAAAGAAAAAACAAAAGGACTAAGATGATAAAACTCTAATAATGCTTGGAAATTTAATTAAATTTGGTAACCAAACGCAGCATCTTGTTTTTTAACTAAAACAACAGTGGCCCTAGTATAGACCCCTGTGGTACCCCATCGTAGCACTGATCATAGTCACCTATGATATGCAGCTGTAACATCAGGATACAATTTTATCAAAATGTTTGGTGGACACATAAATGCATTAAAGAGGTGGTGTTATCTACCATGTTATAAAGTTGTTCCGTGATCAAAAACATATCTGAAGAGGTTTTATATGTTGGCCCTTTTTTGTAAATATACAAAAGCATGATACAAAGCGATACACTTCAACTTCACAAACTAGATGCAGTGTGCGGTAGTTTCACACAATCATGCTGATAGTGGAAGAGAGCATCAAAAATGAAGTTAAGTAATTAAATATTTTTGTTTTGGTTCACATAGCATTTTCAAAACAGCAAAAGATAACAGGGTAATAAAATATGGTTAACAATTAATTCCCTGCAGTAGAGTAATACCCCCTCTTTAAAGAGTTAAAATGAGCAAACAGCAGATCGTATCTAACATTGTGGTTTTGAATTTTTTAGCCTGTGAATTACGAAGATATACAGAACCTGGATCTTGCCCTGTCTCTGAAGAATAAAGCTCCGTTTGCTGGTGGAGCTGGACCAACAAGTGTCGGGATTGGATTTGGGGGTGGCGGCGGTGGCGGTGGCGGTGGCGGCGGCGGCGGTGGCGGCGGCGGCGGAGGCGGTGGAGGTGGAGCGGCTGGTGCAACTGGCGCGTCTGGCGGAGGAAGTTTTACGTATCCACTGAAAATTAACGTGCAGAATGAGCCTGAGGGACCAAAGTTCGACCCCAAAGTCAAAGCCATCCCCATTTCAGAGGGTGGTAACTACAACCTTCAAAGTCCGATTGGAAAGTACCAAGCAATAGACCAGGACACGGGCAAACCAGCAGAGAACGTCAGGTAAGAGACAACTCACAACTACTAAATACACATCTCAGACATTATATAACCAGCTATTTAAAATAAGACTTAAAAACAATTTGTGTATATGTTGTGTAGGTACATCAAAGGCAACGATCCTGGGAACTGGCTCGTCATTGATCCAAAGACTGGTGAAATCAAACTGAGCAAACTTCCTGACAGAGAGTCCCCCCTGCTGGTCAACGGCACATACTACGCCGAAGTCTTGTGCATTACTGATGGTAGAGTATATTTTTCATTAAGAACAGTAACACTGTTTTTGATGTTTATGAATAGGTGTAGGCTCTAATTTAGGTTAGAATTTGGATACTTTTGCACAGTTCTTTACAATTTATAGCTTCAAATATTGATTAAATTCAAATCAAAAATGTAATTATTAAAAAGAGCCTCTAATTCTATTTGCACCTTTTGTTACTCGTTTTATACCAAAAGGCAGAAGTGTTTCCTCCTTGTTCCTTCCCTTGTTTTTAATATCTTTCAAAATCTACAATTTTGGAGATTCATGTTACCCCACAACACTCCTTATCTGTTTTATTCTAGGAACTATATGTAGTTTTTAAATCAAGAATGTCAAACTCAAATTCACAGAGGGCCAAAATTAAAAACTGGGACTAAGTCGTGGGCCAAACTAAATATTTAATGAAAATTTTCAACAACATCTGCATATTTTCTCTTCTTTCGAGATATGTAATGTTAAACCTAAAATAAATCTTTAATAATAGTTTTGCTTAAACATTGAATCCAGAACAAGCATAATATAAAATAAATAATGTCTCTATAGCCTATCACGGGCCAAAAGAGTTTGACATATCTTTCCAAAATTATTTCAACACAAAAAACATTAAAGTATAATAAATTAGTATGTAATTGTATATTAAAAACTGTATGTACAAGATTTACAGTTTGGATCAATAATTTATTTGCTTTGACAGACATGCCATCGAAAACCGCTACAGGGACCGTAGCCATCCAGGTGGAAGACTTCAACGACCACTGTCCCACTCTGACCATTCCCGTACAGACCCTGTGCTTGTCTGATAACGCCATCCTGGTCAACGCTGACGATGAGGACGCCTTCCCAAACGGGCCGCCTCTTACCTTTAACATTGTCCCAGAGAACACCAACGGCAAATGGCATGTGGAGCATCTAAATGGTTCGTACAATCTTACAATTTTTATTAGATTCAAAATAAATATCGACCAAGACCACAGAAAGTAAGACGAATAGAAGCACTGCAAGAGGATCTTCTTTCCGATTAACAATGCTGTATCTCTTTCTACAGACACAGCCGTGATTCTGAGGACAGATGAGTCCCTTTTCCCTGGTGAGTACGAGGTGGAGTTTATCGTGACTGACCAGCAGGGTGAGTCCTGTCCTGAGCCACAGAGAGTCAAGGTCCAAGTGTGCACGTGTGAGGATTCGGTGAAGTGTGGCCCCATCGGAGGGGATGGAAAACCAAAGAAAAGTGTGGAGTTTGGTCCTGCTGGCATCGGTCTGCTGTTCTTGGGACTGCTGCTACTTCTATGTGAGAACAATGGAAATAATGTTAACCTTTAAGCACTGAATATGTTTCACTTACTAACAATGTGTTTTATCTCAGTGTTCCTCCTGGCGGCTCTGGCTTGTCTGTGCGGACAAGGTGCTGGAACTTTTGCAGAAATGCCTGAAGACAACAAATCTCACCTGATTAACTACCGCACAGAAGGCCAAGGAGAACACAGTAAGAATCAATCTATTGTAATGTTTTTCCATGTTCCTATTGAGTACTATCAAAATGTTTCTCTGTGCACTCTGCAGGAAGTGCTTCTGCCTCAAATGCAGACTGATTTGGCAGATATGGGAATGGTAAATACAACTGCCAAGGGAAATATGGGAATGATGGATATGCAGCAGAAGTCTGTTATTTCAATGGAAGAGATGAATGGAGGGATGGGCTATGGAGCCAGTCATATGGATGGCACGTGGAGGGGCATGAGCCAGATGGGAGGCAGTGGATTTCAGTCTGAGTACATGAGCAGAGAGAGAGAGGGTGGGATCTTTGACGGCATGGCTCTACCTTACCACTACCTGGGACAGTACTACAACCAGGTGAGTGTCGCTAACACTGTTTATGAACACATTTATGACATGAAAGTGTTTTAACCTGAGTCTCTGTGTCCCACAGAAGGCACAGAGCTCTGATGCTCCAGCTGGGAAGGAAAATCTCCTGGTGTATGACTATGAGGGCCAGGGCTCCAGTGCTGGCTCCTTGGGCTCATGCGACAATCTGACTATGGACAACGACCTGCACTTTCTTGATAACCTGGACCCCAAGTTTAAGACTCTGGCTGAAATCTGTGGAGGCAAGACTGAGGTTGAAGAAAGGGCCCCCGCTCCTCCCACCACCTCCATTCGCCACGCTCACACAGCAGTAACCAATGTGCTAGACCTGGGGCCCCTACCAGAGCCCAAGCCACGGTCCTCCCACCAAGCAGAGGTCATCAACAATAGCCAAATGCAAGAGGTCATTGTCAAAGAGGTGAATAGGGAAGTCCCCAGGGTCCCAGCACCTCAGGCTCCTCAGGGCCAGATGGTGTTTCTCCAGCAGCAGCCTCAGCCTCAGCCTCAGCTCTATTACACCACGGCTCCAGTTATGCAGCCCATGCACTACATGGTCCAGCCTCCGGTCCAGAATATGATGCTGGTAAATGGCCCTCAGAGCGTCCCCACTCAAGGCCTGGTGATGCAGGGGCAGACTGTGATGGGTCAGGCTGTGGGGCAGACTCAGGTCCCTGGGATGGTGCTGGTGGGGAATACACCAGGGGCCTCTCAGACCATGGTGCTGGTGGAGGGGAAGGGCCCGTCAGGTTCCAAACAGGTGCTGAAGAGTGGCCAGAACTTGGTGAAGACAGGACTCTCCGGCTCCCAGACCCTCCTGGTAGTGGGCTCTGGTTCAGCTCAGGGCCAGCAGCCTGTGGGCTCGGGTTCTCAGAGGGTGCTGGTGATGGGGCCCAACACTGCACAGGGCCAGAGTAGTCTGTCAGGAGGACTCTCAGGGTCCCAAAGGGCCCTTAACAACGGCAGCTCTGGCAGCATGGGGAACATCACAGGAACCGGTACGCCCACTAGCTCCAGGAGGGTGGTGAGGCAGGAGAAAGTGGTTCTGCAGTGATCCAAGGACAGTTCAAAGGACATACGGCCTTATCACTAATCTGTCAACAAAACCAAGAAAGGCGGGAAACATGAAAATGGACTTATTATCCAGCACGTTTGGGCTTTACACACTTAACATCTCTGACTGTGCAGGTTTTAGCTGTATTTATATTTTCACTAAACTCTCAAGAACAACATTTCATTCAGCATCTCTTTTTGTTCATTGAATGTCAGGTTCCAGTCTCCACAGTTTGAGACATTAAGACAAGACAATAATATACTGGATGTAGAAAATGTTAGTTCTATTGTCAAATGAATGCTCTGTTTCATATGAAGAACTGCCTTATCTGGGTGAAGGTGGATGTTCTCATGTATTTTCTTACTGCTGTTTCCCATAAAAGCACTATTGCACTGGATGTTATGAGAAGCACTTGTTTTGTTGTAAATTGTGACTGTGTTGTTATTATTACTATGCATAGATACGTGTACATGAGGTAATCTGAATTCTAATGAACTGGTTAATGGATGATTGTGATGTGTAATTATCTTTTTGCATTATTTTTGGTTTTACAGAAATAAAATTCATTTTTAAGAATACGGGCTTTGTGTTTTTGGTCCAGTCTGCCTTGTTTCTCCGATTTGGACATTTTTGGGTTAATGAAAAAATTGTAAGGTTTTAGTTCATATTTAGCAATACTTCAGCCACAGATAAAAACATATTTTATTCACAAGAGTACTGTCAATTTGTTCACAGCATTCCAAATTCAATTCAAATAAAACTTAACTAATGGTGTTCATTAATTCATCACTTTCAATGAGTTTAGGGGAAAAAAAAAAAAAATCACATATAAATATAAAAATACCACAAGAAATTCCAAGCTTGAATTGTTATTGTTATATAAGTAGATAGTGTTAGTGTTAGTTCGGGAGAGGATTAGTTGAGGATTTGGGAGTGAATCTTGTCTTTAATGTCTTTTTCCATAAATAAAAACTATTTTTCCTAGTACTTTTCTGTATAAATTTTTGTTTTTTGCATGAACTCATGTGTATTTTGAGTACAGTAACATGGTCAAATCATAGAGATAATAAATAGTTTGAGATCTTTTGCCAAATTACTCTTAAAAAAATCACACTTCTATGCCAGTTTTCATGCAGTCACCACAAAATAAACAAAGCTGTAGGAGCATGTCTACAACAGATCAACATGATTTGCATATAACACTCAAATATGAGAAAATTATGAAGTTTACCCAATGATAAACGATAATAAATCTTTTTGACAACATTGGTTTTAGTAGTTTTGACTTGTTCAAACTTACATACTTTCCATGCTTACTACTTACTTTTCCATGCTTTTGGGGGGCATTACATAAAACCCTAACCTATATTTGCCTATATCAGACATTTAAACCATATCATTGAGCATATAAGGTTGAAATGCCTGATATAAAGTGCCGTATGTGGCAAAAACAAAACTGAAACTTAAGCGCATCTGTCCATGTGAGGATCAGCTGTGCACTATGGTTTATTTGCATGTGCATTTTTTTTGCGTTACATCTGAAAATTGATCCGTGCTGATGCTCCTTTAGCCTCAGTCTTTGGTCTATGTCATCCCATTGTGTGTGTCTTGCTAGACCTGTGTCATGGTCAAAGCGGTCTGGGCCCATTGTTATGGAAATGCTGAGGATGGTTCCCCTCAATGGTGTGAAGGTGGCCCCTAGCAAACCATGTGGATGGAAACGAGGCTCATCCCTTTGGCTCTAACTGCACCCTGGAGCTGTCATTAAGATTAATCAACTTGTTCCTGAACTTGTGTTTGTGTAATACTTGGCTGATATGTGTCACTGCACACTGGTTCACAATGCACACTCCAGAGCCTTTCTCCATCCTCCACAAAACCTGGGTAAACTCAGGTCATTGCCAGTTCAGCTCGAACCTTAGACCAAAAAGGTTTGTCTGTGTTGAACAAAGCAAACTGTTGAAAGTTTCCCCTCTGTCTGACTTCACAGCATTAGAATTTGTTCGCTTGACGGGAGGTGGGTACTTTTTTATTTAACCAATCGCTGCTGTTTGGTCGTGACGCATGTAATGCACCACTAACGGGGCTAACTGGTATATTAAGCTTTTCCCAAATCCTGAAGGAAGAAGGGCATTAATGTCTTTCCCCTTGATAAAATTCACCAAACATTCTCTTTGTTCCGGTTTTAAATCCTCGATCTCGGGAATTGTTACCAACACAGAGTGTATGGCTCTTTGCTGATTGGCTGATGCCCGAACTCGCACTTCCAGGGTTTTCGTGAACCGTCTAGTCTAGATCACTGAAATCAACTTTGTCCTGTTTTAGGGAAATCTTGATGTTAAATGTGCAGTAGAAACAAATGCAGTCAGTGGTACAAATGAAAAGCGCAGTAAATGCAATACAAATCATGCTAGTTGTCAGCTTTACTATAACAGCAAAATTCCGCTCTGGTCTCTGAAAGTTGTGAAGCACTTATAAACTCTTTGCATTGAATAATTACCAAAAACAAATAAACAGGCATTCTGAGTGTAAGCGGTTTTGTATCTCCTAGAAAGGTTTAATACCATACTGTGAAACATTTCAAACAAAGCAATACCATAGAAAAAAAAAACACTTGACAGACCCTCTGCCAGAAAAGTTACACAATGCACCTGTAAAAGTAGCATATTTAAAATAAAATAAAAAGTATATTTTGTCATTTAAACCCTGTCACTGATGAAATACATACAGATGAATCTCAAATCTTCAAGTAGATAGTGTTAGTGTTAGTTCGGGAGTGGATTAGTTGAAGATTTGGGAGTGAATCCTGTCTTTAATGTCTTTTTCCATATATAAAAACTCTTTTTCCTAGTACATTTCTGTATAAATTTTTGTTTTTTGCATGAATTCACATGTATTTTGAGTACAGTAACATGGTCAAATCATAGAGATAATAAATAGTTTGAGATCTTTTGGTACAGCACTCTTAGAAAAAACACTTTTATGCCAATTTTCAGTCACCACAGCGCAAGTTGACACCCTCATACACATTAAGTCATAAAAAATTGGCAAAAGATGTAGGGGCATGTCTACAACACGCCAACATGATTTGCATATAACACTCAGGTATGGGAAAATCACATCTTGAACTTTACCCAATGAGAAACTATAGTGAATCACAGGGTTTTTACAACATTGGTTTGAGTAGTTTTGACTAGTTCAGACTTATTTACATGTGACTATATGTTTATAGAGCAGGAATTTCACTTGAAACACTTGGATTTCCATGCTTTTTGGGGGCATTACATTGATGCACATAAAACCCCAACCTACATTTGCCTGTATCATAAATTGAAACCATGTAATTGAGCACATAAGATTGAAATTTATCCCATGTTGTAGTATAAATGAAAGTAGCCGAGAGTTGGAAGTAGAGGAAAGACGCTAAAGTGGACGACAGTTGCTCAGTTGTTACAGCAGTGGTTCCCCAACGTGCAGGTCGGAGGATTGAATCGCACGCAGACCAAGTTCTGTTGTTGTGTCATTCTGCCATTGTGTCTGTAGGCAACACACTTCACCTCCATTGCCTAGTATGAAAGCGGTGTGTGTGCACGAATGACTGGTGGTGGTCAAAGTAAGGTTCTTTATTTGTCATTCAAACATTAGAGAGAACACATGACAGAACGGAATGTGCTCCCCGAGGCCCACTGATCCAGAGAGAGATAAAAACACTAATAATGTAGCAGTTCCCATGGACAAGTACAAGTAAAACGTAGCGAGTTAGAGAGGCAGCCCAAGCAGGGAGTCAGTGTGCACTGTTCAAAAAACGCGGCCGATGGCGCAGATTGGCAGCCTCGCTTCCATCAATCTACAAAAGTTTATTTCCCCTCTGTACAGGATCCTTAAGCCTCGTTTTGTCCTAAGCAATCCTCTGAAGGTACTACCTGTCAAGGGGGTCTGGAACACTTGGGACCCGGGATCAGCTCACAAGGCGGTGGGGCTGGACACCATTGTGTGTCAAAACGGTCAAAGTGAGATGGTACCCCCAGCGCTGACGACGTGTTATTTTATTTATTTCAAACATTCAAGATGTAAAAAAAGAAGAAAATAATTGGTATGAAAAGCCCAGTGGTTTCATTTATATGCCTGTAATGTTCCACAGTATGACATTAAACAGCTCAATCATCTCGATTTATTCAATTACAAGTGGATTTTATAACACAAAAATACCAAAAATAGAAAAATAGGGATTCTGACTGTGAGCGGTTTTGCCTGTCCGCAGATCTGACCTGTAACTTGGTCTAGTTTTGTCTCCATGAAGATAGAAATGTTTAATACCACACTGGGAAACATTTCAAACAAAGCAATACCATGGAAAAAAAAAAAACACATTTGACAGACCCTCTGCCAGAAAAGATGGTATCCCCCAACGCCGTCAAGGTGGCCCCAAGCGAACCGTGCCGATGGAAGCGAGGCTCATCTCTGTGCACCCTGGAGCTGTCATTAAGATTCATAAACTTGTTCCTGAACTTCTGTTTGTGTCACACATGACTGATATGTGTCACTGCACACTGGTTCACAATGCACACTCCAGAGCCTTTCTCCATCCTCCACAGAACCTGGGTAAACTCAGGCCACAATGAGCTCAACGCCAGTTCAGCTCGAACCTTCGACCAAAAAGGTTTTCTGTGCTAAACAAAGCAAACAGTTAAAAGTTTCCCCTCCATGCCATCTCGTAACTACATCACTGGAGTCAACTTTGTCCTTTTTCAGGGAAATCTTGATGTTAGATGTGCAGTAGAAACAGATTTATATTCCAGCTGCTCCATCAAACTCAAATTGTTCTACGGAGGAGCTGCACACTTACTGCTGTTTGTCTAACTCAGAAATGGGAGTGAATACGCGATATATACGATGAGGTACCAATGTTCTAATACACCGTAAAAGTTTTATTTATTTATTTATTTGCTGCTTAATACAGGATATGTATAGTGACATAGTTCTGTTTTTCATGTTTTTAATTTTCAATTGTCGGCACACACACCGCAGGTTTCTATAGGTGGCGGCGGAGAAGGGAGTGTCAGAACAATGTGATAAAAGATGGATTTGTAGGTGATAGAGTTGACAGTGACATGAGACTTTGATATGGTAACACACCCCATAATTATACCACCACATTCCACAGCCCTCAATCATCACTGCATGTTTGTGGCACATAACGGATTTATCAACACACACAACAACACACAGCGATAAATAAATAAGTGTGTGTGTGTGTTTGGTTTTGTGGTGGATCATTATATCTGAGACAATTTAATCACAATATTAATCTAAAAGGATTTTTAAAAAAAAAAGTCTGTGGCGGATACATCACTGTAAACGGCATCACCATCATCATGAACCTGCGGTCGGTACAGTTCACATTGGCCAACATATTTTTTATTTTATATATATTATATATAATCTGCTAAATCCCACGTGCATCAAAGGTAGATAAGATAGGAAAAAATATCAACAAGAAATAGAGAATGGTGTGAGTGGGCAAGTGTGGAGGCATTGGTGAAAATAGGATTTTTTCGACATTTTGAGTTCAGGTGAA